AACACTGGGTGATAAATGGAATTGTTGAATCATTATATTATACACCTGAGACAAATATAACACTATGTTAACTATACTGGAATTAAAATTTTTAAAAATAAAAAATAAATTAAAAGAAAAAGAAAACGGTCTTGAAAGATAAGATTTATGTAGCAAGGATATGCTAAGATTAACATATATAGGTTGGGGCTCATCAGCTAATCATGATGGTCTTCCATGATGGAGGATATAACTTTCTACCATTAAAAAACTTAGCCAAAAAGCTAGAGTCTGGAAGACAGAATACGACATGTGTGAAAGCTAAATCTAACCCGTTTTCTATTTTTGTGAATAAAGATGTATTAGGAGATGGCCCACCTACTCATTTACATACTTTCTAGGGTTGCTTCATACTATAACGACAGAGAGGAGTACATGAGACTTAGACTGTATGGTCTGCAATACATATAGTATTTACTATCTGGCCCTTTACAAAAAGGTGTGCCCATGGCCTATGCCAAAATACACTCCACTAAAAATACTGGGCTAAAATTTTAAGAAATCAATAAAAATAAAACAAAATAAAATAACTTAAATCCATTGAACATCCTGGACAAAACACCAAGATACTTAAATAGCAACACTTATAAGGTAAAATAATACTCTATGCCAGTATACAAGGGAATAATATCACTGAGTCAGTTAAATGAAGAAAATATGGACCAAAAGTTTAATTCTCAGCCAAAGTGATCTACAAGTCTAAAGGCCAAAGGCACACTGTTATTAAAATTCAAGAACCCAGGGAAAACCGTTCTCAGGAGCTCTTTCTGAGATGGCTCAGAGAACAAGCTTCAGGAAACCAAGAAAAGATTGTCCCTCTCCCTCTGCTCCTCCTCCTGCTTGCTTTTTCTCTCTCAAGTAAATTAATTAAATCATTAAAGAGAAAAAAATAAAGAAGGCACTTGATGTGATGAGTGCTAGATGTTGTATGTGAATGATGAATCACTGAATTCTACTCCAGAAACCAATATTGCAGGGGCACCTGGGTGGCTCAGATGATTAAGAGTCTGCCTTCGGCTCAGGTCACGAACTCCAGGTCCTGTGATCCAGCCCCATTTCAGGCTCCTGGCTGAGCAGGGAGTCTGCTTCTCCCTCTGCCTCTCCCCCCTGCTCCTGCTCTCTCTTTCTCTCTCTCTCAAATAAATAAACAAATAAATAAAACCAATATTTCATTGTTTAAGTTAAAATTAAAATTTGAATTAAAAAAAAAATTGTTCCAGGATTAAATGGACTAATATAAATAAAAGTTAAATATGTGAGAAAGTGCTTAATACACAGTAAATATTGCTTAAGTGTTAGTCATTATTATTCTTATAGTTGTCATCATTATTGACTTTTTAAAAGATTATATTCTCTTTAATAACTATATTTTAGAAGGGCTGTGTGTGTGTCTACATATAGATCTTTATATGTCTGTTTTCTCTTAATTATCTAGAAGAAATCAGAGTAACTCAGAGAGAAGGACGCATAATGTTGGAGCAGAGGTAAGAAAAGGGATCAGATGTGAACTATTCTTCCAAATCCCTTTATGGTTTTATTTTAATTTGGGCTGAATTACTCTGCATTGGGGCATGAATTCTTCTGGAGAATGCTATGTCCCACCCTTTTCCCTAGTCAAAAGAGGAAAACAGACCCTCCAGGGTGTAGACAATAAAGTTTTCCTGAAGAGGATAGGGGTGTTCAGCCTGTGAAGTATGAAGGAAGGGGCTGTCTTTAGGGTGGGGTAGAGAGGGAAAGGAGGGAGACTTATAGACTGAAAACATGACTAGGAGTTGGGGTTCTGCCAGTGAGAATGTCCTCCTTTGATTTTCCTCTGAATTCAGCGAACAGCCATATTTGCCATCCTGATATTAGTGTGTCAAGTCCCAACAGATGCCCTGAACATTTAGAGTGTTCTGCTGCACATCACCAGCCTCGGGTCTGGATATCAGAATTACAGGCCAGGGAAGGAAGAGAAAGAGCAGCCTTTTCCCATGAGGTCAGGAGAACAAGACAAGCATTGAGGTGCTGGTGGGCAAAGAAGCTCAATAGCAAATGGTTAAAATGTATCTAGAAAGAATAGAAACAAGCATCTCTTTTCTAAAGTAAATTAGGAGAAAATGCCTTCTACCAAGGCATTTTCTCCCTTCTATTGAGGGAAGACCCTTGAGGGCATATATTTATTATTAAAAATAATCAGAAATCCAGACATCCTCTGAAGTATCCATAGGTCCCTCAGATGATCAATTTCAATTCCAATCAGCAAGCACTTACTGTGAAACTAACGTTTGTTGGACACTGCCCTGAACTCAAGCTCTACACACTGGACATGTGGACCCAAGTAAGGCATAGGCTGTGCCATCAAAGATTCACTGTTGTATGTGGAGAGAGATATAAAAATAGCTAAAATACAGCCTGATTATCATAGAAGAGGCAGCAGTTTTCAATCACTTGTAACTGGATCAATTTATTGGCTCAAAATGTCAGGCAAATATCCAAATTGATTGGTTTAGAGGGGACTGGTGCCTTTAATGATTTCCACCCAAAGAGGTCTAAAAGTCTGCAAACATCTTATAAAACCCTGGGCTCAGGAAATTCTTTTAGGTGTTGACTCCCACAATGTGCTCCATATTTTCTACTTTTCTGGCCTCTAAAGTCTCCATCCTTTGGGTTTCCCATCTAGATTCCCCTCCTTGGCCTAAACCTTTCTCAGTGTTGCCACATTTGGATATCTGGGAAGACACTCGGATGGATTTGGAATCACCTGTACAAGGTGCCTGTTTGAGAAGGACAAGTCTGCAGTCAGCAGATAATTTAGACAAAGGACATCCCTTTTCACTTTGTTCCACTGATGATGGTTTTATCACTCCCAACCAGTCTGCATTCTCTGCGGCATCTCCTATTTTCTTCTATTTCAGGCGCTCTTTAGTGACTGTGGTATAATTACACAAAGCTGAAGTCCTTTTATTTTATCATATTTGCCACAAAGGCCTTATCTATTGACACTGGGAAGGATACAAAGGTCTGAACTATGTTTCTAATGTGAAAGCCTTAGATAGTCCATCCCTCCCAGAATGCTCTTCTCCATTAGTTCATACTACCATGTATCCAAAATTTACATGGTCAAAGACTGTCCTCCAAAGACAAATAAGTTATAAAAGAAGATGTAGTTCCCATGTTCAGGCTCCTATTCCTCTTCCTGACAGTGACCCCAAAACTGAGTACTGAGAGCAAAACACAGAGGCCTGAAGTGCTATAATCATCTGCAACACTCAGGAGAGCCTCCCAAAACAAATAATTACCAACCCACAACGTCAATAGTGCCAAAGTTGAGAAAACCTAAGTTAGAACGCAACTTGGATGTCGTGACAAAAAGACCCCAAAGTGAAATTATTCCAACAAGATGAGAATGTACTTGCTTTTGTCTGGGGTGAGGAGGATGGATCTGTAACAAGACCCAGGCTCCTTCCATATTATTGCTCTGCACTCCTCTATGGTGTCACCCTTGACAAATGGTTGAAGCTGCCTTTGTGGCTTCACCTGAACATTCTGACCCACATGTACTGCTTTGCTAGGGCTGCCCTAATGGAACACCACAGATGGGGTGTAGCCACAGAAATTTATTTTCTCACAATTCTGGAGGCTGAAAATGGAGGTCAGGGTGCTGATAGGGTTGTTTATTTCTTGAGGCCTCTCTCCTTGGCCTGTGGACGGCTGCCTTCTCACTGTCTTGACATAACCTTTCCTCTGTATGCCGTATCGTTGGTGTCTCTTCTTTTTATAAGGACACTAGTCATATTGGATGGGGGGGTGGGTCCCACCTTTATGATCTCATTTAACCCTAATTACCTCTTTAAAGACCCTCTCTCTGAATATAGTCACAGTGTGTGTTAGAGCTTCTAATGTGAATTTTGAGGACACACAATTCAGTCCACAACATAATGGGAAAGGAAGAGAAATTATAGGGCAAACAACTGTATTTTTTTAGGGATTTTTCCTAAGAGTTATGTAAGTCATTCTCTTGCATATCATCGACAAATATGACAAAACTTTGTCACACGTGCAGCCCAACTGCAAAATAGGTTGGGAAGTCTGATCTCTAGCTTGGTAGCCATGAGCACAGATAAATCTCAGACAGCAATGTTATTTTAGAAAAACTATTAGAAAAAGAGATAGAATTTTAGAAACTGAAAATGACAAATCTGTTCTAATTTTGATTTAGTGGTTCCTCAATATAATGCCTCTTGGATTCATCCCAACTACCAGGGCCCATGAGATAATGAAACCAGTTCCTACATAGCATTCCAGTACTGCAGATTCCAAACCCATCCTTACATCTTCTTTCATTTGAAAAGTGTCACAAAACTGCAGCCACAAGAAAACACTTCGTATTTCCTCAGTGGCAGCTTTGAGTCCAGGCAAATTTACTCCCACCCTGAATTACACCGTGTGTCTCTTATTTTTGTCTTTAAAAAAGTAGTGAGAAAGGCTCTGTGGCCAGGGAACTGGAGGAGAAAATGCCTATGCTGTTGCCCTTTAAATTAATTTCCTTCTCTGCCCATGAACACCTGAGCCTCTGCCTTAATGACTGAGGTTGAGATGTGGTTCTTAAAGGCATACAATTTGGAGAATATCCTGGATAAGATCATCTATTAATAATACATGAACAACTATCATATCTAATATGCATTTTAAGAATGACCTAGTAACATTGTAACACAACTTCTTTTAACATACATTCACTCAGTTAATATATTAACACTGAACAGTTAGAATTCTAATGCTAAACTTTCAAGCAGTTTATGCAGCTAATGGCTGAAAACCAGGCTACTGCCTGAGTCACTTGTGGAACTTCAGTAACAGTCTGTATATTTATGTGAAATGCCATTAACCCTAATGGGAGTGATGGATTCATTACTGAGTTGAAGGAAGGTGACCCTTCACAACTGCCCGAGGAGCACCCGTCTAAGAAAGCCACTCACCATTCTTCTTGTAGAACATAATTTCTCCTTTGAATTCCGTTTTCTCCTCCAGTGACTTTTCTATTTGAAGCATCAGCTGTTCATTGGTTTCAACTCCAAATAAGAATTTGCAGCTGCAACTCTTCTGCATGACTTCGGTCCGGGCGAATCCAGCGAGCTCACAGAAGCCATCAGAACAGTAGACTATGGGGAACCCCTTAGCCACCTGGGCATTCGCAAGGATGAAGTTGCTATCTGTAAAATGACAAGGAGACACTCAGCCACCACACCAGTGTGAGGAACTCTTTCTTTTCCATCAGTTTCAGTAACAAATTATGAGCTTGTGTACTTAGCTAACAGTGCATGTCCTGATGTGCTAGGGTGGGAAGACACTCCAAAACACGGAGCCGCGGAAGTGTGTAGTAAGCTCTGACTTTGGCTTGCATTTTGAAACACACTACAGAAGGAATACAGTATTCATTGGTCTGCTTCGAGGCACTTATTCCCCAGCTGGCAGTCCAGGTAGGACACTTTTGGGCATGGCTTCAGGTTCAAACCTTGAATCTGCCACTTGATGTATACATAAACTTGAACAAGTTATTCACACACTAACCTCCTGTTTCCTTAGGTTTGATTTCGCTAAAGGCAGACCCTGAACGGAGATTCAAGTGTAAGACATTTACTGGGCAGATAACTTCAGGAAGTAAGCAAGTGGGGAATTGAGAAAGGGAAGGAAAGAAAGGTAATAAAGGATAGGAGAAGAGGGTTTTACTGCTATGGCAGCTGAGGTCATATAGGGACCCTAGAAGTAACAGAGGACCCCAGCTTGGAATCTGCCCACTAAGGGAGAGAAAGGTATGTTGCTGGAATTAATGAGAAATGTACATAAGGTGCTTAGTGAAATCTCTGGTACAAATAAGTATTCAATAAAAATTGTTGAGTGTTAGTCACACCTTTATGGTTATTATTTTTCTAAGATTTTGTTTGTTTATTTATTTTTTTAAGAGAGAGAGACAGATAGTGAGAGAGAACAAGAGTGAGAAGAAGAAGGAGATAGAGGGAACCTGATGAGTAGGGAGCCAGACACAGGACTCAATCCCAGGACTCTGGGATGATGACCTGAGCCAGAGGCAGATGCTTAACTGACTGAGCCAGCCAGACGTTATGGTTATTATGTTAACAAGTAAGAATCAGAGGTTATTATGTTAACAAGTAAGAATCAGAGGACAATCAAAAATAGCAGAGTATTAGGTGCTTGGAGAGAACTCCAGGGGGACAGTGTGAGAAGCAATATTCAGGGAATGTTCCTGCTGGGTGAATTTCTTTTGATACCAATTTTGAGGTTTGGGTATGATATTTATAAGCAAAAAGATGCATATTGGAGATGGGCTGTCAGAGAAGGCATTTATAAAAACCTGTTCGTAGGAGACTTTAGGTTCAGAATGAATTAGGGACTATTATTAAATCATTCATTCATTCTCTCATAAAACAAATGTTGGACACTGTATCAGGTATCAGAGGCTGGGATTTTTAAAATAACACAAGTAAAAATGGAAAGAACCGCAGTATAAGTTGTTAAATGAAAAAAACAAGATTCAATATGTTATTAGATGAACTATTTGTCTGAAAATAAATAAACACACATGAACATGTATATGTGTATCCAAATATGAAATACTTGTGTGTACCTAAAAATAAGTGGAATAACTTAGCAACTGTAGCTATCTTTAGAGAGAGTGACTTTAGGTAAAGTGGTAGGCACACTTATTTTTACCATACACCTACTATACCCTTTGAATGTTATACTAAACGCTTTATATATTGCCTATTCAAAGAAACAGTATTTAAAAAAAAAAAAAAGTTTGCAGTAGACAGCCTGTCTTACATGCTATGAGAAAGGAGGAATTCTAGATACTTTCCAAAGGCCAGTAGGTCAAGCACTGCAATCTCTTCCGTGGGCTTCCTCATCCATTTTTAAAACATCTGTTTCACGTTTCCATAGTTGTCTATCAGCTGACTGAACCAAATCCACTCCATCCAGCTTTGCTCCAACCAACCCCTGAGCCCAGAATGCCAGTTCTAGTGCTCCCATCTACATGCTGCCTGAGTTGGGCTTGCTGGTCTGCCCTCCCAGTCACCCCCCTCCCTGTGGAGAAAAGCCAGAGCTAAAGCTCTACATTGGGAAGCCTTTGATGGCCTGTTATTTTGAAGCCATGGGAGTGAATTAAATTATCCGAGACCAATATTTAATTCTGCCACACTTTGCATAAGCATTTATTGACTGTGGACTACATGTTGGACTTTGTTCCAGGTGTAGAGACAAATAGTTTTTGCATGCAGTCTTTGCCCTTGAAAATCAGTAATGCACCTGCACGAGTTCCCAGTGAGGTCCAGATGTAGGCATCCTCCTACTGGGTTATGGTCTTTACCATAGATCCATAGATGGATCCCTCTTTAACCACAATTTCCCTTCCTCTTCCCTTTCTAAAACTGTGGTGGAGAGATTGTTTAGAAAATGCAAATACATCGCACAGGCAAAGTACTCAAACATCCTGAAGGAGCTTTTAATGCATTTTCAGAAACCATTTTTCAGTCGACTGCTGACATGTTTATTGACATTCTACTATATGCCAGGTGACTTGATTCTACCATATGGCAGGTCCTAGGGTGAGGTGAGAGTGGTTGTTAAAAGATGAAGAAGGGGGCGCCTGGGTGGCTCAGTGGGTTAAGCGGCTGCCTTCAGCTCGGGTCATGATCTTAGAGCCCTGGGATCGAGCCCCGCATCAGGTTTTCTGCTCAGCAGGGAGTCTGCATCCCCCCCCCCCCTCTGCCTGCCTCTCTGCCTACTTGTGATCTCTCTCTGTCAAATAAACTGAGCCACCCAGGTGCCCCATAAATAAAATCTTAAAAAAAAAAAAAGATGAAAAAGGTATAGTCTCTAGCTCTATATTACTACAATTTAATTAAAGAAATGCATGACTATCAATAACACTAAAACACAGCTTACGCTTTTGTACTAAATCAATGATACACAGAGAGTATGTACTACTAGAGTTGAGAGATTCAAGGTTCTAAAGTTTGAAAATGGTGAGCTTGGAGTAAGAAATAGGTGAAGGTGATTTAGCAAAAGTCCTGGAAGGTCAGAAGCAGATGCCTGGATGGAACAGGCAGAGGGTGGAGAAGCAGTCATTGGAGACGAGAATAAATGACACAGCATTTTGTCCTCAGGTCCAGTTTTCCCATTATTTAAAGGGCTACAGTAGTTTTCTTGTATAAGTGTTTGTCTGCTATACCCTTTCTCATCTTGCTTTATTTTCAACCCTTCTAGGGATGTATTTTAGTTGTGTCTTGCACATGCCATGTATTTAAATTTTTGAAAAGTACAATATGAAGGAGTGCCTGCGTGGCTCAGTCAGTTACGTGTCAGACTCTTGATTTCTGTTCAGGTCATGAACTCAGGGTCATGAGAGCATGGGGTTCTGCGCTGGGCATGGAGCCTGCTTGGGATTTTCTCTTTCCCTCTCCTGCTAACCCCTACCTTCAAAAAAAAAAAAAAAAAAGTATAATATGAAGATATGTCAATCAACCTGAGCTCAATAAATTTTACTTTTTATCATTTTTACCAACTTAATTTGTGCTTTTCTCCATTATGTTATTTTGCCTTTTCCATTCTTACAAATTAAGAACTATAACTTAGCTAAAAAATTATGCAATAATTAAATCATCAATAAACATCCGCCACAGATCATACATCCAGTATGCAGATTTTATTTCCCTCCTTCCCCAAAGAAGAAACACAAAACTTGAATTTCTTTTTTTTTAAAGATTTTATTTATTTATTTGACAGAGAGAGATCACGAATCAGGCAGAGAGGCAGGCAGAGAGAGAGGAGGAAGCAGGCTCCCCCCTGAGCAGAGAGCCCGACGCGGGGCTCGATCCCAGGACCCTGAGATCATGACCTGAGCCGAAGGCAGCGGCTTAACCCACTGAGCCACCCAGGCGCCCCAAAACTTGAATTTTTGTGATAACCATTCCCATTCATATAGTTTTTACCACTTTTATAAGTATCCTCACACAACATACTGCCTATTTTTCCCTGATTTTATGACATATATTTTAGTATTTCCTTCTACGTATTTCTTAGTGAGTTGGTTCTTTTATCAATTTCCTTAACATCCTTATAATTGTTTACATAAGAAGAGACCAGCTCTTCCTGAGCTACAATAAGCTTTTGAAAAAAGCTAAAGGAGTCACCAGATTGCCTGAACTGTGTGTTTTAATTGAGGATTATAGTGTGTTTGGGGTATTTAATTCTTCCTGCAAATATACTGCAAAAACAAAGCAAAAAAAAAAAAAAAAAGTCATGTATTTGGCCTTTCTGTTTATATTTAGCACTTGTCCTCGATATGTAATTGCATTTCAATTCCAAAGAGAATTTAGTGGCAGTCGGTGCCTCATAAAGCCTAGTGTGCGAGCTACATGAATAGTCCTTCTGTGTGGGAAAGAGTAGCTCCTCTTACCCAGCTATCTACTTGGAAACACGTGTTTTTCTGAATACCAGTCCTGGAATCTCCAAAGCAACATGACATTTACTTTAGAATTATGTAAAACAAAGCCATTGCCATAATGATTATGAACCCATCATGGGTATATCACTATCCATACAGATGCTACGAGTATTTAACCTTTTAAGGAATCAATTACACATATGTGATATGCATCTAAATGCCACACAGCTTTTCCCTGCTTGTTTCTAGGTCATCTTTTTGTGCAAATTCAGTTTTGAAGTGCCAGTAAACAGTAGGATCTAAATGTGTTTACACTTGAGGCAGTTGATTCTTTCTCTATGCTTCCTTAGCAAAAAGCTTCTGTAGATCATCAGAGGCAATCTCGGGGTTAGGAGAGACCCTGGTCCTTTGGTCAGACTTCCCAAAATATTGCACCATTTTCCACTCAAATGGAGATGTACTATTCTTGTCAAATTCCCAGGCTCTGTGGGAATGGTGGAAGAAATGGAAAGATAAAGAAGAAAAAAAAGAAAAGGTAAAGTCAAACCACTACTCTTTTCATCTTTATATGTGTCCCTATTTTCCTGAGAACACTGAGGACTGCAGAACTTTAGTTTCCAGCCCAAGGTGTGAAGCTAGGGATTAAAACCAGTTCTCTGTTTACTCTATACTGCATTCCTTCTGTAAAGAAGTGATTTGTTCTCTACTTCCAGCAGGAATGGTTAATCTAGAAAAGTCATTCTAGAA